ATATCCTAACTCTCTCGAGCAGTACCAAGGGCAATCCCCACCTGCACTTACCAAGTAACACTCGCCCATCCATTTGGTCACGTCACCTTTCTTTTAACGTGAAGGATCATGGAAGGGTAACCGGTTGGACTTTGGAACCGCAAATCTCACTCTCCTTTTTTTTTTTCTTTATCAAGTTAAAAAACAAGCGTACCTTCGCTTCCTCCCTCATCCTTCCCCATCCTCTCTAACGCCATGGGCACTTAATCTGGGAGCTCCAATGTTACAAAACTCTAAAAGATTTAAAATTTTGTAGTTAAAGAAATAATTTTAAACTTAGTTCCTTATTTCTAGTATCGAATTATTGAAAAAATAAAAAAATAAATTATTGATAAAAATTACTTATTTAATGGTTAAATCGTTCATCTAGTTCACCGACAAATAATTTGTTTTTATCAATCGAAGAAAATAATATTCTTGAAAGAAACACCAAGAAAGTTAGAAGATGTCACAAACACATCAACACCACACAAAGATCCTTTACCTTAGCCCAACCTCCAACCCCTGAACGAAGGGAAGTAACAACGGGACTAACCTCAACCAAAGTAGGATGAGGTCTTTATGTCTACGTAACTGAAAACGAAAAGGCCAAACTATAGAATAAGTTAAGAATTTCTCTAAAAAAAACTCTCTTTCTCCATGAAATTTCTTTAAAGGTTTTATTAAAATGTGGAGTATGTTTAAGGTTATTTTTTTATTATTAATTTATATAAAAATTATAAAAATTAATATTACTTTTAATAATATTGTTAAATATATAAATTTAATTAAATAATTGATAAATTAAAAATTAATATTTATTATTTTAATATAAATTTATAATAAAAAATATATTTATTAATTATTATAGGCAAAAACTCTTCTTAAACCCCCAAACTTACCTTAAAATAATATTTAAGCTCCTAAACTAAAAATTAAGCATATAAACTCTTCAACTCTACTAATAATGTAAATAAATCTTTCTCACAAATAGATAAATGATATCACCTTCAAAGCATGAATATCCATAAATGAGAAGGGTCTATTTGCATCGTAAGTAGAGTTAAACGGCTTATCTATTTTATTTTTAATTTAAAAATTTAAATATTATTTTAAGATAAGTTTAAGGGTTTAAAGAGAGCTTTTGCCATTATTATACTCATGGCATCAACCTTACAGGCGGAAAAACCCTTTCTTTAAACATTATTTTGTTAAAAACAAACTATCAACAGTTTCCGGTTAATCCTTTTAAAGCAACGTGACGTGGCGAAATAAATGGGCAGGTGTTAATGGGCGAGTGCAATGGGCGAGTGTTCCTAACAGTGCTTAATTTTTTTTCTCAATTAAATCATAATTTTTTGTATTTATAATAAAATGTTATTTTTAATTATAAATTATATAATAATTTTTTTTTATTTTTAAATTTATTCATCTATCTATCATATTATTTAAATTTAAAATTTTTTATTTTTATAAAAAAATTATTATTAAATTATTCAAATATCTAATAATTATTAATTATAAAAATAGTGCTGCTAAAAGAGCGGACATGAAATCGGCTTTGGAATTTCTTCACTACGAAGGAGCGGTGCAAAGTTATGCTAATTTTCGTGACTGCTGAAACTTCTGAGGAACTTCAATAATGGAGGCTCTAACATGTCTTTTTCGTTTCCAGCTTTAATAACGGAGTCTCTGACATGAAGTTATAGAAACTTTCTTCAGCATGTTTTCCAAGACTTCTGTTTTCTTATTATTATATACGTAAATATTTTTTCCCAAAATTTCTCCCAACATATATGTTGGACCTCAACCTTCACTTCGATAAATTTGTGGTCCCTACATTTTTGTAGTCACTAAAATGCTCTCTCATTTAATTAGTTGCCAAGATTTCAAAATTACTAGGTGTCAATTGGAAACGGAGGGAGAAACGATTTTAAAATCTTAGCGAAAGAAAAGAGAGACTCAATTAGAGCACACGTCTTATTTTCAAAAGTTTAAGGATGATATAAATTAAAATTTTCTCCAATGAATTCTTTTGAAAAAGGAAAAAATATATATTTTCAAGAGAGGTAAAAGGGCTAAATTTAGTATATGGTATTTGTTAATTGAGATTGGCTAAATGTTAAAATGTAATTTTGTTGTGTTAGGAGGTGTTTACACGATTTTATGTAGTTTTTATTTTTTTTATTTTTTTATTTTTTTGCAAAAACTAGTGTTAAGCGCTTAGAATTTTTCCCATATCTTCACATAAGTCTTCAAAAAAAAAAAAAAGTGACATGTCATCCCCCCTAAACATTTGGATTCGAGCAAAGTGGCTCTTATACTTGGGCAAATTACATGTAATCGCATAAATTAAATTATTTTTATTTTATATAGTAATTTATTTATATTTAGGTATTTTTTTTGTACATCTGATGATGAGATATAGAAGAAAGGATAGTCCTTTCATATTCTCAAATTCTTCCCCACCCAACTTAAGATTCGAATTTAAAATCTCCAATTTAGAATTTCAAATTCTTAACCATTGAATTATCTTATTGGGGTTATTTATATTTAGATACTAATATTGCGTGAAATTTAATCATTTTGTTCTTAATTTTGAAAATTTTTAGCTACATAATATAAACATTTAAGTATGAAAAATTGTTGCATTAATATCTAAGTATAATAAAGTATCACACAAGCAAAAAACAAACGTTTGTTTAATTTATGTAACGGTATGTGATTCTGATAAAATTGTCAAATTCAAGTATTTAAGAGCTTCCATGTCACCTTTTTTTTTCTTTTCTGAGTGCTTATGTAAAATGGGGGAAGTCTATGGACTTATCATTGAGTTTTGCCTTCTTTTTTTTCTTTTTTTCTTTTTTTTATGATCGGATGCAACGTCATGTAATTGTTTATACGAAATTTTTTTTAGAAAACTAAAGAAATTTTGATAAATATTTCTAGGTTAGTTTGGAATAAAATAAAGTTTTTAAATTAAAGTGACAAAAAATAATTAATAGTTAAGTATTAAATTTAACAATCTAGAAATAAATTTGTAGTTGTCTAGTTAAAAAAATATAAAAAAGAGTGCTACTGATAGAGTGGACTTGATGAAATCAATTTTCAGTTTTCATCATTAAAAAGGAGTGGAGATTTATGGTATGATGATCTCCATATTTTACAATTTACATCACTCCTCCAGCCTGTGCTAAACTAGAATAATGGTGGCATGTCTATGTCTTTCAGCCTTCTCTCTTGCATGGCACCATGTACCCCAAAAAAATTACATATTCAATGATGAAAAGCAATGATTAAAATATTAAAATATGACATCATCAATTATCCATAATGAGAAGAGGAAATAAGCAAATATGAGGTTGGTAGAAGGTTAAAATTATGTTGTGTTATCTATTTGTTGATGTGAAATTTCTATTAAAAAAAAAACTAATGGAATTTTGATTAACAAACTATTTTGATGCGTTTCTTCAAGTTTTTAGATTAGTTTAGAAAAAAAAAATTATACCCAGAAACAAAAAAATAAACTCTTTAAAGCAAAATAATAGCATGGTAATAGTTAACATATTAGACATTATATTTAGTTGAAGAAGAAATATTTAAGAAATAACAAGTATAATATTTTCTATTTATATACACTATATTCGGATAGAGGAAGTTGGAGGAAAAAGAGAAGAGAGAAAAGGAGAGGAAAGTGAGGGATAAAAAGCACTTTTTCTTACTTCGATATATAATGTTAAGGGAGGAAAGGGAGATGGAGAGATAAAAGGAGATAAAATCCCTTTCCTT